CACATGACTAAATTAACTGGTTAATCAGTTAATAAAGTTAACTGGTTAACCGTTTCTAAAATTAATCAGTTAACCAGTTAACTCTTAATTTTAACGGTTAATTAACCGGTTAAAGAATTTTTGCATGGTGCCAACCTCTAGAACAATTCACAATGGCTTTTCCTGTTAACTATGCAAAACTTGTAATAAGGTAAAACATGTTTATTTAATTATTAACAACCAGGGGGGGGATTATTTATTCATTATTCAATTGTTATAGATTATTATGAATGTTATTAACATGATCCACCTTATTCTCACTTGGTCTAAAACAAGCCTTTTTATACCTCTTGAGGTATTACTCTATTTTATCCAATAAAATATGCTTATTAATCCTATTTTCTGTATTACTAGCTTACTAATTGCTAATTACTAATGCTACTAAATATTTGGATCAACTGAGCAATACAAATAATTTGATTAATAATTCGAAATAAATAATTATGTCATAAAGATAAGTTAAATATACAGTGTGTAATGAAAAAAAATGACCTCCGATGATGCAAAATTCAAAAGCATACAGTTTCACAAATAAGCAACAAAATCCCATCCAATTAAATCAAGCAATCATGCTAAACCCCTGTGTTGTAAAAACAAACTTTTTGAACCATCAATCTTAGTTTTGTCAACATAAAAAAATGTCATCAAACAAGCTCGATTTGCAATGTTCAACACTTCTTTATTATTGGAACCAAGGAATACATTCTCCAAAGGAACTTCACACAAAAACTAATATTCACCTATCAACAGTCAATATAATATTAAAAAAATAAAAGAAACCAGAGATGTTTCACATAAGGGAGGTAATGGCTGTCTAAAAAAGATAGGATCAGCAATGACTCATGAGCTTGAGCTTAATACATTTGCAATGACAGTTCCACATCTTTGCGAACCCTGGCAATAAAATTATCCAATAATGAAAATTCTGTATTGCATATGGCTGTAACGAGAAGATTGAAAGAGCTTGGCTACAAAAATGCACTTCCAACTGGTACCCCAATGCTCACTGTTAATCACAAGGCAAGGCAAGTTGAATGGGCTAGGAATCACCTAAATGATAGTTGGGAAAGGACCTTGTTTTCTGACAAAACAGCCTTCCATCTGTTTAGGAACACAATAAAATGATGGTATAGGGGTCCAAAACCTATTCGGCCACTTCCTAAAGACTGACAAAAAGTCTTTGCCTGGGGTGGGTTTTGTGTTAAAGGGAAGACTAGCTTGTTTTGCTTCACTGAGATTATGAATGGAGAGTTTTATGTTGAAATTTTGCACCAGCACCTTCCAGAAACCAGAAGGATGCTTGGTAGGCAGTGGAGATTCCAACAAGACAATGACCCGAAGCATACTAGTCAGGTTGCCAAAAATTTCCTTGATGAGTACTTCCCTGAAGTCATCAATTGGCCAGCTAACAGCCCAGACCTTAATCCCATAGAAAACCTATGGAGCATTGTTAAACATAATGTAGAAAAGCATATGCCAGCAAATATTAGCGAGTTGTGGCAGTATTTGGTTGAGGAATGGGAAAAAATTCCAAGTTCTATATGTTGTCTAACCTTGTTTCGTCAATGAATAATCATTGTCAGATGATAATTGATAGTAATGGCAAATGAATCAATTATTAATATATATATCAATAAAATTTCTTGGTTTAGGTTTTTAAACAAGCTATTGTATGCTCAATTTAAATAAATATTTATTGAATTATTATAAATAAACAGAGGTCAATTTTTTTCATTACACACTGTAATTAATATATTTTATACATATGTAACACAATTGTTTATCATATTCTATGAAATTCTAGAAGGTCGATCATTACAGTATTTGGTAATTCCATATTTGGTATATTCCCTGACTGCAATACTAGAGTAAAAGAAAATCCTGGTGAATTTCGCATTGACAATGGAATTTTATTTTGTAATTTTGTGACCATTCTGTTGATTGGATACAAAAGTCAATGGTTGATGACCACCTTAATAGTAAAACACATAAAGCTAAGAAAAATCTGTATGAAAATAAACAACGTCAACTTCAACAAACACTTGTTACCTCTCTTTCTTCTTCTGAGTCTAAAAAAATTATAATTCATGATTTAATTGAAGCCTTTGCTATACCAGATATCCCTTTAGAAAAAGTTGATTTGTTACTTAATTTTTTTTAGAAAACATTGTAAAGAAAGTGGTGCTATCCCACAAGCAGCAACATTATGACAACTGTATAAACCGCAGAATGCATAAATATTATAATGGAAATTATGCAGAATAGTGTTTTTTAATGCATGGCATGCACGCGGAATTTGTTTTTAGCACAGATGGAATTAGTGTTTCATCACTGCAGAAAATCATTGTCCCTGTGTCAAACAAACATTATTGACCCCCGAAATTCTTGGTAATACAAATGTTCACTTTGTCTGGTTTTGTTGCAGAATGCCCCATATAAAGATAATCCTTTTAGTCAACAATTAGATTTTTGAGAATTAAAGATGGTATGAATTTTAAGACCTTGTATATGATTGAACTTGATATATATATATATTTTTTAAAAAACAAAAATTAAAGTGCTTATAATAAAATTCAATTTATAAAAATGATAATAAAAATTTTCTATGTAATGAATGGGACAAAAGGATAGTACAAAATTTTAAAAAAAAACAAAATTATTTTTAATCTTCAAGAGTGAGATCTTCTAATAATTCTTCTATACCAATTTCAGGTAAATCATCCTCAAGATTGTCCTCGTCAACTTCCATTTGATCATTAGCTTGGTCATTATTATTAATATTATTGGTTGTATTATCATTATTAACTTTATATAAATTAACATTTTGTCTAAGTTCACTATCTTCTTCCAATTCTCTTAAAAACAATTCATATTCCATTTCACTTTTCAATAAATCTTGCTTCTTACTATCAATTTCTTTCTCTTTATTTAAAGATGACAATTTCCAATTTCTTTGTTTATTTTTTCTACGTTTATTTGAATATGATTTTTTGATTAGAATGACATAAGGTATTTCACTGTGTTTCAATAAATCATAATTATTATCATTAAAATTTGATGAAGTTAGATCATATCCTAATGCCAAATCTCCTGATTTCAAAATATTGCCCAAATGTGTCCTGACAAAATATGTTTGATCATTTCTACCAAAATCTGTTGATTTTGCTACTTGAACTTCTGCCAACATATACTATTTTTTGTAATGATTTAGTTATTAAATAATATTAAAATATATTTTTGGTATTAGTTTTTTTTGTTACATAAAAATATTTACCTTTCCACGAACTTGAGGTAAAGGTTCAACATCCAACACATAATATTCTGTTAAACTTTGTGCTGATGCCAAAGCATTAAATGGTGTCCTCCAATATGTTGCAGTTGCAAGTTCAGATACTAATAATTATATAATCATTATTGTTATCATATTATCCAAAATCATTATTATTATTTCTATTGTAACTTACCTGCCAGTGTATTTGGATCCATAACATGTATAGAATTTCCAACACGATAACAAATAACCAATTGACTATATATGTATATTTTTATTGTAAAAAATTAAATTGTTTTTAAATTTTATCATAACATTGAAATAATGCTGTTGAAACAAACCAAACCTAATATTTCCAAGTGAACGAGAAATTTTCAATGGTAAACAGATTAAATCATCTTTACATATTGGGACTATTTCTACTGAATGCGAAAATTTATAATTTGAAGTATTATTATGAATATCAGTTGAAATAAGTTGTTCAGAAGTTTTAGTTCTAAGAATAAAATCACCATTAATATCATAGATATAATATAATATGTAATATAATAGTAATAATATTGTTGTTTACCTGACAGGAACAACAGAATTTAAAAATTCTACCATTTTGTTGGCATGAGATCGATTAGAATAATAGAAATCAAGACCATCTTTAACTTCTTTTATATTGATTGTATCTTTATGAGCATGATGTTTAAGTATAAGTTGCTCTAAAAATAGAAAAGTTCTTTTATGATTGACTTTTTGTCTAACTTGAACTAATGCCTTCCATGTATTCTTTGCCATTATTTTAGTACAATCATTACATTGTTGATGATTGACAACAAATTCTACTTCAAAAATTTGTTGTATAAGTGTTGATGCAAAAACCTTTTAAATGAAATAAGTTGTTTTTATTATTACTAATATTATTATGTCATTTTTAATTTTAATATTAATATTAATGGGTCATACTTCTTTTTGTATAGTGAGTTTAAGTTTAATTCTTTTTGAATGAGGTTCTGTCCATATAAATCCGGCATCAATCAATCGTACTTTATTCAAGCCTTTTAATTTCTTTATACACAAGGCCAATAATTCCTTACTTTCAAGCTCTGCACTAACCCAAATAGTTGGTGGTTGTAGATATCTTTCACAATTACGACAAAAATGTATAATCGCCTGTTTTGGAATTCCTTCAGTGATATCAACCTCATTTCGAATGCAGTTGATACACATATTTGAAGGATTTGGTGAAACCTCTATGCCACATTGACAGCATAATCTAAAACATTATTGATAAAAGAATTTATTCTTTAGATAATGGAAAATTTTTAAAAATGAATGTTTTTTTGACTTACATAAGTGGTTCAACAACTACAGGGTTGTATTGCATTTTTTTTTTTGTAAATATTAATTTTTTTTTACATCAACCGTGGCATTTGAAATCAAAAGATGATCTTTTTATGCCGTGTAATGGTTCGAGATCTTTCTCGGTATTTAAAAAGAAAGTGTCAACATAATAATATTCTAAAAGCCTATTAGTAAATGTTGAAAATGCCGATGTTTATCCTGTTTTTTAATAAAGCATTGTTAACTATTGACTTGATTTAATAAACCAATAGCTTAATTGGTTAAATATTTCTAAAGCTCCTTGCTTCCAAGTAGAGTTCTATTTGTAATATTTGCTCATTTGTTTCATTTGTTTATTCATTATTTGTTTTGTTTGAATTATTTGAATTATTGTAATTCAAATACTCAAATCCGTAATGAATAAAACAAATAACTCAAATAAATATTTCTTTATTTTTATTATCTTATAACTTTTTAATCAATACACATCTAAACTCAATAAGTTGGACATTTATTTACAAAGTACTTTAAACAATTGATTTCTGCATCCGACTTATTGAGTTTAGATGTGTAGTTATGATACTAAATTTATTTATGTATGAATCTTTTGATTAATAAGTTAACACTATTAAATAATTTACCCTTTTATATCATGACTTTTTAAAAAAATTTCTATTATTGTGTACTAAAAAACTTTACCCATTTTTCTTCATTGGACATAAAAAATTTTTACCCTTAAAAGCCTTGGAACTTTTAATGTATCCATAATAATAAAAATTTTACCTCATCAATAACAGTGACATTTTTCACTTTCTATATTAATATGTTTTTTACCCTTGGTTTGCCTGGGACCTTGTTTCTGGGGCCCTATTCATACATACCTATAGGAAATTTTTTAGATAATTTGCTTTTTTGGCAGATAAATTTAATTGATGATCTGTCTATGAATGAGTGAACTCTAAATAGAGATTGATGGAGGAAAAATGACACAAATTTTACTAATTGATAAAGCTCTGAACAGTTTGGTTCAAACCAAAGAATTTGGCAGTTCCTGGTATTCTAATTTTTGCACTCTGCTTATTTAGAACCAAACCCACTAATTTCTAATCTAATAACAATCAGTGAATGAGTTTTTCTGAGGCACAGACTTAATTACTCAAAGGCATTGTATTTTAGAACCTGAAACAATAAGAGTTTAAAAGTTTGTGGAGATGATGAATTTTATATATGAATTGAAAAAGTATATAGAACATCCTTAGGATTTCTATTCAAACAAAATGAATGAAACGAATAAAATGAATAATTTGAATATGGTTGGCTTGGTCTAAAGACCTCCTATTGCTGCTCCATGCAGCCAAATTTCAAAATAGAAATTTACTAAAAAACTTTACCCATTTTTCTTCATTGGACATAAAAAATTTTTACCCTTAAAAGCCTTGGAACTTTTAATGTATCCATAATAATAAAAATTTTACCTCATCAATAACAGTGACATTTTTCACTTTCTATATTAATATGTTTTTTACCCTTGGTTTGCCTGGGACCTTGTTTCTGGGGCCCTATTCATACATACCTATAGGAAATTTTTTAGATAATTTGCTTTTTTGGCAGATAAATTTAATTGATGATCTGTCTATGAATGAGTGAACTCTAAATAGAGATTGATGGAGGAAAAATGACACAAATTTTACTAATTGATAAAGCTCTGAACAGTTTGGTTCAAACCAAAGAATTTGGCAGTTCCTGGTATTCTAATTTTTGCACTCTGCTTATTTAGAACCAAACCCACTAATTTCTAATCTAATAACAATCAGTGAATGAGTTTTTCTGAGGCACAGACTTAATTACTCAAAGGCATTGTATTTTAGAACCTGAAACAATAAGAGTTTAAAAGTTTGTGGAGATGATGAATTTTATATATGAATTGAAAAAGTATATAGAACATCCTTAGGATTTCTATTCAAACAAAATGAATGAAACGAATAAAATGAATAATTTGAATATGGTTGGCTTGGTCTAAAGACCTCCTATTGCTGCTCCATGCAGCCAAATTTCAAAATAGAAATTTTGTGATTTGTTCAAAAATGTAATATGGTTGGCTTGGTCTAAAGACCTCCTATTGCTGCGCCATGTGACCAAATTTCAAAGTAGTAATTTTGTAATTCGTTCAAAAATGTAATAAAAATAGGACTTCATGTCAGTGTTGAAATTTCGTTGTGTAACCAGTACAAATTTAGAAACTATCTCCAAAAATTAAAAACTTGATTGGTGTGTAATGTCACACCCCCGCATTCCCCGCACCGAATTTTCAACACCGGAAAAGACCTTCTCTAATTGTTCGTGCAACAAATGTTGAATTAGTAATCATAATTTATATACTTTAATTAACTGCGCTTTTATACACAGAGAAAAGACCTTCTCTAATTGTTCGTGTAACAAACGTTGAATTAGTAATCATAATTTATCTCCTTTAATTAACTGTACCTTTATACACAGAGAATGTAACAAAACGTTGAATTAGTAATCGTAATTCATCTCCTTTAATTAACTGCACAGAGAAAAGAACTTCTCTAATTGTTTGTGTAACAACTGTTGAATTAGTAATCATAATTAATTAACCGCACCTTTATTCAAAGTAAATACCTTCTCTAATTGCTTGCATAACAAATGTTGAATGAATAATCTTTTAATTAGCCATCAAACATTGAATTAATAATCATAATTTACCTCGTTTACATCTTTTGCATAATAAACATTGTTTTTTTTCATCTGAATAAAGCAAATTCTAATTACACAAATGTAACTTTGTAATCATGCATGATTCATTCCTTAGATTCTTTAATCAATTGCACACCTATGTGCAAAGCAGGCATCTTCTTTAACTAGTAATCAGAATAGAATCTTATAATTCAAACAAACCCTTCTACAAAGAATTTTAAATTACTAATTCAAGCCTTGGCACTTTAACTTGTTTCTCAATGAAATTCTTGTATCTTAATGTTGAGCATTGAGTAACATCAAATTAATTCAAATAGCCTTTGAAATCCCCTCTCTGATTTTTCATCATACTTTGAGATGTAATTTCTGAACAGATAATAATAATACAATCAAATAATAAAATAACAAACTTATATTGAGAAAACATAATCTCTTGAAAACATACCTGAAAAAATATATTCCTGCATATATTATTAATATATCATTTTAGCATTATAATAATTCATTGTCAGAAATTAACATTAGTATTAAACACACATACCAAATTGACTGCAATATCACAATTTGATTGATTATTGTGATGCCTCTCAAAAAAAGCAAAGAAACACATGAAAAAGATATCTTCAATAGGTGCTGCGAGTTCCAAAATAAAAAAAAAATATAATAAAGATTTGTCTAAGGATCAAGTTGTTGAGATTTTGAAGTCTATGAGCTCCAATGAACTTCCATGAAATTATCTCAAATAAACCTCAAGAAATTACTTGTGGAATTAGCTCTGATGAACCTAAAGAAATCATCAATAACATTAGCTTGAATGAATCTCAAGAAATTGCTTATGAATTTAATTCCAATGAATACCAGGAAATAACTCATGAAATTAGCTTCAATGAACCTCAAGAAATTGATACTCTTATTCCACAAAATAAAATAGAAAAAAAGAGGAATGAATTTATTGAACATGTAAAAAACTTGCCTGAAAATCAGATAATTAATGCTTATACTTTATTCTCCACAATGAGATATGATAAAGGAAACCATCGTGGAGAAATATATTCAACCTATATTCAAAAAAAGGCAAAAGAATTTGTAAATAGCAGCATTTATAAACAATCTTCATCTATATCATCAATACAAGGGAAAATTAGTGGAATGGAAACCAAAATACATAAAATGGAAAAGAAAAAGGAGGTTACTGATCTTCAATTAAGATCACTTAAGATGAAAGAAGTGAAAGCTAAAGAAGCAAAAAAGAATAATATTTCTCAGTTGCGTTCTATTCAAAAAGCAAAAAATACTACACCAAATCAGCTCCAGAATGTAATAAAAAGGATGATAAAAGAAAACAAGAAGCAATACACACCTGAATTTGTACAGCTTGCAACCAAAATCAGTAACATTGGTAGCATTTCTATTTCATCTACTGTTGAATGCACTAGAGCAATTATACATTTTTTAACAGGTGATGAACCAGATCATTGGGACTATTTCACGCTGGAATAAAGAAGTTGCCACTTTGTGTCTTTGTCAGAATTGTCCAAAAGATACCAAATCATGTTTTTATTCTTATGGAATAATGTGTGATGAAAGCACACGTGGTGATAAAAAGATATTTTTGGTTTGCTTTGCTCATTGGAATAAGGATAAAAATCAGCCTACAATTACTATTGCAAAGATGGATGACTTAGACAAATGCAATGGAAATACTGTAGCCAAAGCAGTAAAAAAAACATGTGAGGAAAATGAGATTAGTCCAAAGAAATGTAATTTTTGGCTTACAGATAACACTGCCTATATGTCTGGTTCCAAGTCAGGTGCAGTTGTCAAATTTAACTTGATGTGTCAGTCCTCTTCCTACCGAATTCCTTGTGGCTTGCATGCATTAGTGAACTTTGAAAATACAACATTTGGAAAACCCAATTCTCCATCAGGTCTCTCTTTGGAACAACAACACCCATATAACCTTCTCAATTTAACATACCACTTACATGATGGATATAATGATAGTAATAAAGAAAGCCCTTTGAACATGAAATCTGACTTGATACATAAATTATACTGGTGTTTGCTTCAATATCCTCTAAAAACTTATCAAAAACCAATATCAAGCTGTTGGTTATACCAGCTAACAACTGCTCAGCAATATTTGACAAATAAAAATACTCACCTAATATTTGCACAATGGTTTA